GGCGTCGGGACTTGCATCGTATGCTAGTGGTGATACCGAGGCTTCGAGGTAGCTTAGAGGGGCTAGAGAGGCGTTTAAGGGTGAAGAAGTTGAGAGAGAAGCAATAAAACCCGGAGCCCTAGCCTCCTTTTTATAGTGTTGGGGGCACTCACGAACGCAGGGCGTTCCCCCTGTGAGTTCAGCGCTTACGTATTGTCCTCTGATTGACGATGGGATGGCTCTGGTCGAAGAACGCATGGCATTCCTTTAGGGAACGTAGGGCGTTCCTTCTTGGACCAGCCTCAGATTTTGTGCCCCGAACTTGTAAAATCCGTAACTTTCGCATACAAACTCCGTTTTTGACATTCTTTATATCCACGTGTAGGTGAGAATATAATCTAAAACTTTCATTTAGACTTTGTTGGCAAATTTTGAATTTATTTTTAATTATATATTTTTAATAGGCCGGGACAGGAAAAGACCGTTAAAAATTCATAACTTCTTCATCCGATGTCTGTTTTCGTCTGTCTTTTTACCGTTGTACTACTATTGTCGAGATCTTCAATTCTCGTTTAGGTTGTGTCGGCTAAATATCGCTCGATCTCTATTTCGAGTGTTTAGCTGTCTACCGCTACTCTGAAATTTAGAAAAATCATAACTTCCCCATACGAAGTCAAATTTGGACGTTCTTTTTATGTACCTTTACGGTTTAACAAAATCTACGACTTTCGTTTAGATACCTAAGGCTAAAAAGTATTTTATTGAAATTTCACCTTTTACGCTTAACAGTGTTTTACCGGTTTTGACACAAATCTTTGACTGGTCATAACTTCTTCGTTATAACTCCGATTTGATTGTTCTTTATATTTCTGTAAACCTTGTCATGATATCAATCATTTTATGTAACCCAACTGAGACTTTTGAATATTTTATTTTTGATGCTATTTCCAATATATCAAAATAGATTACAATCCTTGGTTTTTAGGTCATTACATTGATTCGAAATATCGGGTTGTCACAGATGAATTCATTGGAGGGTCTCGGGCGGAGACCCAGGATTTTAGACCAGCCTTTGAGAGGCCAGCATGGTCGGATCCAGTGCAACGCTTGCAGAAGCTGCGCGACGGAGTTTTTATTCCAAGGGTTTGGATTGTCATTGGGATCGTAATGAGGTGTTACATTATGTTCTCAGGGTGGCCGAGGTATCACAGGAGGAGGTGGTCAGGATTCCTTCAGATGTTTGCGGATATGCTATCTTCGGCCATTTCTTGTGGATATCGGGTATTTGTATCGCTTGGGAATTGTAATAAGTTAGATCTCCGGTCGGTTTGCTACTATTGTCTGGGTTAGCAAGGGTTGTCAGACGCCATTCAGCATGTCGAGGAATCTTTGAGAGATCTTCAGACGGATGTATCTCACGGAGCGGATTACGCGTGCACCGTGATTGCTCCGAGTCGTTGTCGGAATCTGTTCAGTGATTTGGGTTGCTACGGGTGTAACAGGTTTGGTCACGTTTCAGGGATTTCCCTTAGGGAGCAAGCCCGTTATATGTTGTGTTTAGGTGGACGATAAGGAGGTCGACTGTCTGCCGATTAGGGATGAGCGGTGAGTGCACCTGCTCCAGTCAATTTCGGAGTTGGTTCAAGGGCTTGAACGAGGGAGTTATGACTAGTTTTCAGTAGCCTTAGTATTTATGTTTGGAAGAGCCATCGGGATTGCCGAGGGAAGAGAGAGTTGTCGCTGAGTATTTGGTTAGACTATCCGTTTGTTGGACTCCGAGGTCTAAGCGTGATATCGCCTTTAAGCGTTTGAAGTCATTGATGTTGTTGGGATACAAAAAGTGTTAGTTGAATTTCAGGAAGTGTGTTGTTTGGACAGGGATATTTTTGGTGTGCTGGCTTTGGTAAGCACCAGCCGTCAGCAAGGCGAACATTGGAACATAATGAGGATTGGGAATCCTTCAATTTTCGTATGCCGAGCGGACTTAGTTGAATCTAAGTGGGGGAGAACCGTCCAGGTATCCAGGTCAGAAGCAAGGGTGAAATGGATGTAAGACTACGGGGGAGCCGTAGCATTCACTAATAGTCAGTTAGGGTATAGTGTTGTAAGACTGCGGGGCAGCCGTAGCATTCACTAGCAGTAGAGAGTGTTGTAAGACATGCGGGGGTGCCGTAGTGTTCACGGATTCTTTCAGATGATACAGACTAGGGTAGGCTAGTTCGCAAGGTTGTGGGGGAGCCACAGCTTAGTCAACATTAGGAGCCACAGCTTAGTCAACATTAGGACCAGCTTAGTCAACATTAGGACCAGCGTACAGAAGAGGTACACTGGGCGTACGCTCTCAGGAGGATTTGGGCCCTAGTGGACTTCGGACCTTTGGGCCCTAATGGTTTTGGGCCTCGATTTGCTGATTACTAGGCCTGAATGTGTCTTTGGGCCGATATGGGAATGGTTAGGCCTATTGGGCCTCGTGGCCCAATATAGATATGGATTTCACATTTGTGGGCCTCGGTTTGGGCCAATTCTTGGATTAGGTTGTTATGGGCCTTCGTGGGCCAATTGGGGTCAGGATTATTGACCAAGGAGAACATTGGGCTTTAGTATAAGGTCCATTAGAATGATCCGGGCCCAATTTGGAAAATTGGGCCATTAATGATATTATAGACATTATAAATGATGGGATTTTGTTTTAGGTTGGGCCTTAGTTTTGGATCATTTCGGCCAGGGGTAAAATGGTTATTTTACCCCATGCATGGACTAAGGATTATGGTATGGGTCCCAATTGCTAATTGGGTGTATTGTCTGGTAGTGACAGCTCGGGAAGCTGGCGGGGCAACAAGTAAGGAATTCATGCGGGAAGCTTCTGCAGTGCGAGGTGAGTTTTCTCACCATACCAATGGGTCTAAGGCACCAAGGTCGGCCCATTTTATGTTATGTGGTACGCTAGTTGTAGTAGAGATATATGGTATGATAATTAGCTTTATGGTAAGTAGTATGCTAGTGATTATATGATTTGTGTTATGCTAGTTGTCTTTGTGATACTTTCATGGAAGACCCCGGGGGGAGCCCGTGGCATTGGATGTAAGACCATGTGGGGTAGCCCATGCCATTCTTAGGTAAAGACCATGTGGGGTAGCCCATGACATTGGATGTAAGACCATGTGGGGTAGCCCATGGCAGTCCTAGGTAAAGACCATGTGGGGTAGCCCATGGCATTGGATGTAAGACTATGTGGGGTAGCCCATGGCAGTCCTAGGTAAAGACCATGTGGGGTAGCCCATGGCATCCTTGCAGGTTTATGTATGCATGGCTTATGTGGTATGTGTAGCTTTATAGTTAGTATGATATGTGTTATGTGGATTGTGTGGGGTATGATCTGGGAAACTCACTAAGCTTCGTGATTACAGGTTTGTTTATGGTTTCAGGTATCATCGTTCTGGAAATGAAGGGCTCAGTTTGATCGCAGTGCACACACCTATGATTTCCGCAATGAATGATTTTGGGATAAACTCTGTTAAATGTTTTACTTATGGATGACTTGAAATGTTTGAGATAAATGGTATCAATGTTTTAGCTATACTAAAAATGAAATTTTTACCCTTGATTTTTCGGTCATTACATATAATTTCAATTTCAACTAAAACTAGAGAAAAAAAAGTGTTATGTTCTTCTTGCTGTGATGGCCGGATTCCGGTGGTCGGATTTGATGGTGATCCTCTGGTGGTTGCTGGTGGTCACTGGAAAAACACAAAATCAGAAAAGAAAAAAAAAGGGTAAGAAACAATCCATCCTTACCTATTGTGGCGAAGGAGAGAAGCTGGAAGGAGGCGTCGGTGGCAGACGGTGGTAAAGGAACAACGGTGGTGAAGGGTCGAGGGTGGTGAACGGCTGTCACAACCAACCAGCAGAAAAGCCCCCCAAATTTGGAGTTAAAAAGGTGAGTAATCACTAACAAAGAAGAAAACAATGACCATGAATGTACCTGCTGCTCATTGTCGGTGAAGAGGAGTGCCAATTTCGATTTTCTTCGTTGTAGATCGGGAGAGAAATAGTAATATCGTCAGCTGCAAATGAATGATGTGTTGATGTCTTCTGTTAGGGTAAAACCCTATGTCAACGACAAATTATCGGTATAGGGTTTACATAACGACGTTGTTCCTTCTTTTTGTTGAAATTTGAAAAAAAAAATGGTGCCAACGACAAGTCGTCAGGATAGATATTTCACGCGGATTATCACGTGGCCTGCCGACGACATGTCGTCGTGATAACTTTCACAAAAACTACGTCGTTTTGATTTTCTGCACCGTGGAATAAAAATAAATAAAAAATTCATTTGTCGTAACCTATACCAACGACATGTCGTCGGCATAGGTTTTCAGAAGACTGCGAAAAAATCGTCGTTCCCGCTGAATCTGCCGTGGCCACACAACTTTCCAAGTGAAACAATCATGGTCAATATTGGCAAAAGCTATGACGACGACATGTGGTTGACGTAGCCCTTCTTTCAGCGACGACAATAGTAGTCGGGATAGGTGTCGTCAACGTAGACTGTTATTGTTGTTTTCAAACTAAACAGCCAAGACCCAAAAAAACAAATCATATATATAAATATTGTTTTGAAAAAGTTATTTTTACGATCCAAAAGGAATTGACACTTATCTATATAAATTAAACTTTTATGTTTTAATACAGAAGCACAATACATGTTATTTAGCTAGATGCATGTTACTTATAATCTTTGCATTCAAGTCTATATGAATGCTTTTCGACGATATAAAATTAAATAGTTAATATTTTTACAACAAACAATCATTTGGATTATCTATAAATAAATAATAATTTGTTTTAGATATATAAATTTTTACACATGCATAATGCGTGTGGTATATATATGTACTCACATAACCTCTCAGAATCTACATATTTAAATATTTACACATGCTTAATGCGTCTAGTATTTAAAGCCGCCAAATTGGAATGGTCGTCTCCTAAACCGTAAAAGTTACTAAAACAATGAAATAATGGTAAATAGACAGTAGGTCAAGTGAGGCGATAAGTTTTTTTAATTAATTTTGACTATAAATAAGTAGCAAGTCCGACCCCAAAACAGTATCAGTGTATTACCAGCTGAAGAGATCTCAAACGCAACTTGTCTCTATATAGGTCCTTTTTTTCCCATGAGCTTTAGGTTTTTGTAATTAATTCTTTCTATGTTTAGTTTACATAAATCTCACAATACTCTTTACATTTGCAGGTTAATCATATCTATCAACAACATGGGTGCAGGTGGTCGGATGTCAGACGACCCATTTGATGGTAAAAAGATCCTGGAACGTGTCCCAGTTGATCCGCCGTTTTCATTAAGTGATTTAAAGAAAGCGATCCCTGCCCATTGCTTCAAGCGATCCGTCATCCGTTCATCTTACTATGTTGTTCACGATCTGATTGTTGCCTACGTTTTCTACTTCCTTGCGAATACATATATTCCTTTTCTTCCAGCTCCTTTGGCTTACTTAGCTTGGCCGGTTTATTGGTTCTGTCAAGCAAGCATCCTCACTGGCTTATGGGTCATCGGTCATGAATGTGGTCATCATGCCTTTAGCGAATACCAACTGATTGATGACATTGTTGGCTTCATCCTCCACTCAGCTCTCATGACACCTTATTTCTCATGGAAATATAGCCATCGAAATCACCATGCCAACACAAATTCTCTTGATAATGATGAAGTTTACATTCCTAAACGCAAGTCTAAAGTCAGGTGGTACTCAAAACTTCTTAACAACCCACCTGGTCGAGTGTTCACTTTGGTTTTTAGGTTCACTCTAGGATTTCCTTTATACCTCTTAACTAATATTTCTGGCAAGAAATATGGAAGGTTTGCCAACCACTTTGATCCCATGAGTCCAATTTTCACAGAGCGTGAGCGAATCCAGGTCCTGTTATCAGATCTTGGTCTTCTTGCCGTCTTTTATGCAATCAAGATTGCTGTAACAACAAAAGGAGCTGCTTGGGTAACGTGCATCTATGGAGTTCCGGTGGTAGGAGTCCATGTATTTTTCGTTATCATAACGTATTTGCACCACACCCATCTATCGCTGCCTCATTATGATTCAACGGAATGGAACTGGATCAAAGGGGCCCTATCAACAATTGACAGGGACTTTGGATTCCTTAATAGGGTTTTCCATGACGTTACACACACTCACGTATTGCATCATTTGATTTCATACATTCCACATTATCATGCAAAGGAGGCAAGGGATGCAATCATTCCAGTTTTGGGTGAGTATTATAAGATCGATAGGACTCCAATATTTAAAGCAATGTGGAGAGAGGCTAAAGAATGCATCTATATCGAGCCTGATGAAGATAGCCACCACAAAGGTGTATTTTGGTACCATAAAATGTGATCATTTGCTGATATCATTTCCCTTTGAATTATTCCGGCCATTTACCGTATGTATTTGGGCCATTATGTAATAAAATAATTCATAGGTTTGCTTAATGAGAAATTAACATGGTTATCCAAACTATAAATTTTATCTTGTTTATCACTTTATTTAATTGAAATGGTATTGAACTAAATCAGAAATTGTTTTATGTGACCATTAATTGTCAATATGCTGTAGTATCAAAGTTATTATTTTTCAATATATTCAATTGGTTCATGTTTAAGAACCCTGATTTTATTTTGTCTATCCTATCTGAATGCAATGTTCTTGATCAAGTGGTGGAAATCATGTTTCTCGATTGCCAATTGCTAATCGACTAATTTTTGGAGCAAAATTATGCACCATTAAAAATACAATGTCTCACTAAATTTTTTGACGAATTATTAACTGCATGAAACCAACCAATGGATTGCCCACTAATACTTTCTACAACACTATCAGTGTGTTAGGAGATTTATATTAGAAACCATAAATCCGTTTGGTGGATAAGAATCTCCCTTTAATTTACGGTGGGTATAAGTATACTTATTGTGAAAATCAAATCAAAACAAATATAAATTATCTTTGAATCAATGATTGTTTTTAACTAAGCATTGAGTTGCTGCAGTTATATATATATATATATATATATATATATATATATATATATATATATATATATATATATATATATATATACTACCCGTTACCCGCGTCAAGCGACGAGTGCGAATATTTTTTTTAAAAATTGGTTTCTAGAGGTTATACCCTAGCAGACCTCAACATTTAGATGACAGTTAAACATCGTTAAAAACTTTGAGTTATACGGAACCACCCGCCTGTTATCCATCTTATTGCCTCATATGTCCACCTCTATACCATTATTTCTCATTCGGACCAAAGGATATGAGTGCTTTCCTTATGACATGGTTTCATTGAATTCTCGAGAGTATTTAAAACGACATTTCTTTTGCTCATTCTTCATCAAAGGACACTCAGGGTTTCAGCTGTCGTAAGGGCCAACTTATGTCAATGTTTTGTCCAACTTAAATGTGTTATCGACTTATATTCTTAATTATACCCAAAGTTAATTAATTTCAGTTTTAGAAATTGCAAAACTGACGTTAATTTATTTCCATGAATAAATCTTTTTGGAGGTTAGTTTTCTTATGGAAACACATTATATTTCCAAGAAAATGTAATGAGTCGACAAATATCATGAACCATTAAAAATATAACTATAATTTAGTTTGTTGTTTTTGGATAAAAATAAAAGGCTAATGTTATTTTGTGTTTAAAAGAAATATCATTGTTTTATGGGTTAAAATTAAAAGTTTGTTTCTTTTAAGTAAAAAAAGTAAAAATAAAAATAATTTGTTCTTTGATAAAAAAAAAAAGTAAAAAGTTTGTTATTTTAATTTAAAAGTAAATATATGATTTTGTTTTAGGTTAAAATTGAAAACATGCTGCTTTGAATTAAAAATTAAAATGTATTTTCATTTTTCTTTTTTAAAATTATAAGTATGTCTATGTTTTCATTAAAAACTAATATAAGCTGCATTTAATAACGGATAGAACATAGTCAAATAAAAATTAAAACTATCATACTTTATTGATAATTCTAAACACAATAATATTACTTGATACACAGTGGTTTAATAATCAATACATGTCGTAATACAATTCCCACTATTTCCCACTATTCTAATAAATCTCAACATATGTTTTGATAATCATTTTTCAAGTATTTATAGAATAATATTGGCAATAACTATGATTGTGTATATATATTTTGAAAATAGAGGGGAAATGGAAGTATACCTGCAAGTCCATGAGAAAATGACAGCTTAACAGAAAAAAAAAGTGTGTAGACGTGAATATTTCATCCAGTAATCAACCATAAAGACAAAGAGGGTAAAAACTTGAAATGGCATAGGCATAACATACTGAGGTCAATTTGTAACTCTGAGGAAACTTTGTAGTCGAATCTATTATAAAAGTAAAACCAAAAGCAAAATGTGTGTTCATAGATCTTGAAATCGATACCAAAACCAGAACCCTTATCATAACACTCAAGACTTAAAAAGAAGAATTAAATGAACCTTTTGATCATCTACCAACTTCAACATCTTATCATCTGACTTTTGCTGCTCCAAAGTTGCCAATTCATTCTATAAAAAAAGAAGCTTTCTTTAATGATCAGTACTTTCTGTAAATTGGGAACCAAACAATACGTACATGTGAAGTTTGTAAATCCAATTTCACCGGCCTTTCTAAATCCCTAAAAAGGAGAATCAAAGGAATCAGCATTAGCTATGGAATAATAGTGGCAATTAATTGACTATCATGTTGTTTCCCAATAATTCAACCAAAAACAGTGACGGGGATGAGAAAATGAATTTGCCATTAAAAAAAAAATAAGTAGAACCTTACCGACTACAATAGATCAATCCAATCCCATGTCTTTAAGCATCATAATCCAAGCTTTTACATAGCACATCAGGAACACTATATATAGATTTTTAGATGCACAATAAGAAAAAAAAATAACTTAATCATATGGAATCGCGGTCAAAAACAGAAAAGTTAAAGGAAGAAGCTCGTAACTCTTTTACTAGGTTAAGATAGAATAAGGGGAAACAAACATTAGAAATTTTTATTTTGACTTTTTTACAATGGTTCAATAACTCCATTTCATGTGCAAACTGGTGCAGGGGAACTTCCTTAAGTTCAACCTGAAGGGCAAAATGGTCATTTTTTAATTACCCAAGCAATAACATAAAAATCATCTCTTGTTCTCCAACATCTATTTTGCTAACTTTATTTTTTTTTTTTTTTTGTTGATAACATTTTAATGACAAAACAGATGAAAATCGGGCTAAAGACAATAAGATCGAGGCGAGGTTGATGATGATGATGAAACGTGATGTTGGAATTCAAAGTGATCTAATTGAGAGTAGTACTTTGAGCCCGATTTCTACTCATTTGATTCAAGATAGGTTGATGAAATTGCATTTGAACTTAGATTCATCAAATTCAAGCTCAAAGTCGGAATGAGAATCCAAATCCAATTAAAAATTCAAGATAAATTACTTATCTACATACTTCGTTTATTATCTGTTGAAACAAAAATTAGAAAAACAAACACATGATTCGACATAAAGAGGAATCAACGCAAACCAAAAAAAATAGGAAGACCAGAAAAAACAGAGAGGTGGTAAAACGAAACTCACATGTATACTTCCTGTCGTAGCTCTGCGCCGATCTACTTGATGGAGGACGATGATATATTTTGGCTTGTATTCCCCGGATTTCTCCGTCGCCTCTACCAATAACAACATTCAAGTAAAATAAGTACTAAAAAAGTTATAATCAAAATAAATCTGGGTAAAATAGACCTAGAAAATATGGTTTTTGGAGCCGAGATATTTGATGTCGCGAGTTAGCCACAAGAAATCGGACCAGGTAAACCCTAAAACGGGAATAGAAAGCGATTATTATACATAAATTTCTTCTGTACGCATGCACTGTGGTGTTTGATTAATGTCTTGTAGGGGTTTAGAGCCGTCGACGATGCCAATCATCCTAAGAACAGCGCACATTCAATCTCTTCTTGGCGATCGGTAACGAAACAGATAGAAATATATTTCTAAGAATGGAAGAAGGATCGGTTTTATTGAGATGGAAGAGTGAGGTTGATGAAAATTAGCATGTAGATTATACCTGAAAGTTGTTAGAGAGAAAGACTAGTGACTATCACCCATGGTCTAATTGACTTCAAAATCGTCCTGTAGTGAGATCAAAAAAATGGTCACCATCGTCAGATTAACTGGTTATTGGTGACCGATTGGAGCATTTCTTGACTTCTACAATCGATTTCAAGAGAGGGAGAGAGAAGAAGCGTGCAATCGGAATCAAACACTGAAGGTTTTGGTGATCTATCGGAGCATTTATTGACTTCTGTCGATCGAAACTTAGAAGTTACAATCGATTTTGAGAAGAAAAGGGAAAAGGATAGTGATCGATTGAGAAAAGGAGACACTGCGATTTTTTGGTGAGTATCGATCGATTCTGAAGCGATTAGGAAGGAGACGCAAAGAAGAGGGGTTCGATTTCCTTCTGTTGCTGGGATACGACACACACAGATCTGATCCATGAAGGTGTTTGGGCTGTGAATGGTTGGTTGACTTCCAGGGCGTCGATTGAGAAAAGGAGACACTGCGATTTTTTGGTGAGTATCGATCGATTCTGAAGCGAGGAGACGCAAAGAAGAGGGATTCAATTTCCTTCTAATTCTGATGGCGGCTATTGTTGCATGTAGAGAGGATTAGGGTAACATCGAAGACATAAGGTAATACATAATACCATGCATATGTATACAATGTGATTATAAGCTTAATATTACTGTACATTAGGTAATAGGTATTGTACCTCTTAATTTTCAAGAAACAGACAATATGTTTAATAATATAGTAAAGATATATATATATAAAAGATGAAATGAGAACAAAAAAAATTAATAACCTTTAAGAACAATTGTTTTAGTTTATAATTGAGGATATATTTAATATTTTTCAAAGAATCAATGGAATGTTATTTTTCAGATCTTGTTGATTTTCCCTTGGGTGGTCCTTGTTTTACATGGTGTGATAAGTGGGCTTCAAAATTCAGTAAACTCAATAGATTTTTGACTTCGTAGGGTTTTCTTGATAAGTGTCCTCATCTCTCGAGTATGATTCTTGAGAAGAATCTTCGTAATCATCGTCCCATACTTTTATTAGAGCGTGTGGTGGATTACCGGCCTTACCCTTTTTGTTTGTTTCATTATTGGTTTTAGATGGATGGTTTTGATCAAACTGTGAGAGATTCTTGGTCTACTGTTGTCGAGGGGGTGAATAACCCATGGGTTATTTTTAAGAAGAAATTATAGATTCTTAAATCTAAGGGAATATGACATAAAAGCCCTTAAGTTTTCACAAAAATATCGGTTTTACCCTTGGACGTGTTTTAGTTCCAGTAAAACTGGATGTTTTGTTTAATTTGTTCATTTATACCCTTTTAACCGGTTAGTCGGTTACCTAATGTCAGTAAAGCCCTTGACTTTTCAAAAATGTTCGAATTTACCTTCAAGTTTTAAAAAATGTTCAGATTTACCCTAACTTTGATTGTTATTATTATTATTATTGTTATTATTATTATTAATATCATCATCATCATCATCGTCGT